CAGCAGCAGGAGTGGCCACCGCTTCATGTTTTCTGCGTGAATATTTTCCCAAAAACAGACTTATTCAAAAAGTACATCTCAAGTCCGCCATTTATTCTATGGCTATCACACCTTAAAAAATATGAGTAGCCTGGCATGGTGGAGCACGATTATAATCCCGGTACTCTGGAGGCTGAAGCAGGAAGGTCACTATGAGTCTGATTCCATTCTGACTGGTACAGTGAGCTCAAGGCCAGTCTGAACTACACAACCTTAACTACCCTGTTTCAAAAAACAAAAACTAATAATATCAAAGTCCCAGGTATGGTAGGGCACAACTGTAATCCCAGCATTCTGGGGGGCTGAAGACAGGAGGATTTCAAGTACAAGCCCAGCCTGGACAATTTAGTAACTTAGCAAGACCCTATCTCAAAATAGAAATACAAAAAAAAATGTCTGGGTATGTAGCTTGGTGCAAAGGCCCTGCGTTTGGTACACACACACACACACACACACACACACAGTGAGGTGGTGCACACCTGCAATCCTAGCTACTTCAGAGGCTGAGCTACGAGAATCACAAGTGTAAAGCCAGCCTGGGCAATTCAGCAAGAATCTGTGTCAAATATAAAAGGTCTGGGGACACAGGGATAGAGCGCTTGTCCGGCTTGAGCAAGGCCCTGGTTCAATCTCAGCAATGCAAGGAAACAAAGAAGAAATGAAAAGGGAAAAGCAATTGCAATCTCTGCCAGAGGCCAGCCTGAGCTGGGCGGACAGTGCCTCGCAGACACCCTGGTCCTGGGCACCTGCAGCCCTGCTGAGCCAGAATCAAGGCCTGAGACGGGCCACAGTGCTGAGCAACCATGCAGGCCAAGTGGAAGGGGGAGGAGCAGGAGCACGGGGGGACAGTGGCCAGATGGCAGCAGGGCAGGGCACCGGGCTTGAGGCACTGCTGCAGCAGCCTCCAGCATAAAGGCCCTGAGACTGGGGAAGGAGGTTTTTGGGACCACCTCAGACCGGAGACCCAAGGGCAACGGACGAGCCTGCGGAGCTGTTTGGTACTGCCATGCCTTGGAAGCTTAGGCAGCCTGTGCCCACCTGAGGGGTGAGGGCCACAGCACCAAAGGCCTGGCAGTGCCAAGCACACAGCCGATGCTGTCTTGACTGCGCATTCATGCTCACCACCCTCTCGGGAAGCACGCTGCAGCAGGGCGCAGAGCGGGCTGGGCTGCACCCTCTGTGAGTTCGACCGCACAGCAGACCCAGTATAAGGGCGCACTCAGCTTGGAAGATGCGGGAGAAGAGTCTGCAGGCGGCATTGGCAGGCGGCACAGGGCAGTATATCACCACCAGGACCTCCGGGCTCAGCGTCACAAGCACGGCCTCGCCAGGTCCCTCTGCACAGCTTCACGCCCTGGCCTGTGAGCTCCTGGGGTGGCCCTCCAGCCCCCCATCTACTTCACCAGTACTTCCTCTTCTGGGTCTTCTGCACAGAGATGAGCTCTCCCCTCACAGCAGCAAAAGAAACGCTCCTCAGCACAGCAATGCCATCTGGGTTACCAGTGGCCACCTAACAGATCTGGTGGCCCGGTCAGGAACTAATCCAGCAGCTCGTGCTTAGACAGTGAAGGAAGTCCTGGCTTCACGGCGGGGGCGCAGGTGTGGAGACTACTCTGGTTCTGCCTCAAAAGGCACTGAAGCCCAGGCTGTCACCTCGTTATCGGTCTTCCCATCCTACACATCACAGGGCAATCTTCCAGACTCGATACACTTTCTACATGTTGCCCACCTTCTCAGTGGGTGGGGGCAGCTGAGCCCCTGGGGCCAGGACAGGGGAGTCACTCCTGCCAGTGTATGGCTCACCCACACACACTTGGGAGGTGGGTCCAGGCGTCTGCATCCACTGCAGCTCCACTCCAGCCCCAGCAGTGAGCCCTGGGAAGCCGCAAGGCCCACCCAGAGCCAGTGCCACTCATGCCTCCCCAAGCAGAGAGGAGGCTACCGGGGTGTGGCTGGCACCGCAGCCTTCAGAGACCCAGCTGCCAACTAGAGCTGTTCTGTGGTCCCAATGTGTTCTCAAAAATCAAACATGTCGGGGCTGGGGATTTAGCTCAGCGGCATAAGCACCTGCCTTGCAAGCAGGCAGTCGTGAGTTCGATCCCTGATACCAATAAAAAGGAAAAAGACCAAAAAAAAAAAAAAAAAATCAAACATGTCAGGTTCTAACCTAACCCAAGTTTAGCACAAGTCTAGTACATTTACTTTACAAACCCCACAGCTCTATCCCAGCCACAGAGCCTTCTTCCTCAGCATTTGTCAGGGACAAGTGCAGCACACAGGGTCAGGGCCCTGGACTCACCACTTCTGACCCACCGCAGCGAAGCCTCCCCAGCAAAGCCTGGGGGCCCAAGGCCTTCACCCTCATTCGAGGCCTGGAGGGAGAGCTGCTGAGGCTGAGCTGCCCATTGTAACCCAGATCCAACAGCTCTCACAGGAAGCAGCTGCTGGAGTTCAGAAGGGAACGACAATGGGCTTGGTTCTTCGAAGCTGCTAGGTGAGAATGCACTTGACTTCTGCTTGGAAAATCACTCTGAGACGCCAGCAGGTCCCAGGGTTCCAGAGCCAAGGAGGACACGCCAAGCAGACAGAGCAGCTTGGCTGGAACACACTGAGTGCCCCAAAGATCTGCAGCGACTGCCTAACAGGTTCTTTTAGCAAAGGGCCTTTTCCCCAGGCATGGTGATACACACCTACAATCCCAGTGCTCAGGTGGCTGAGGCAGGAGGCCCTCCAGTTTAAAGAAGTCTCAAAGACCCTATCTCAAAAGGAATAAAAAAGGGGGCCTTTTCTCATTAAGTGAGATGAGAATAAAAATACTCTTCTGTAAGATGTGATAAACCTCTAATGAGAACAAATTGACCTCCACAAAGAATCACCATTTATGCTTCAGATCTCAGCCTGAGGGCTGGGGGTGGGGTGGGGGACTCAGGAAACAACTGGCCACCATAGCTCGGCAGGAATCATCCCACACTCAAGCCCACACCTCCTGTCCTTGTCTTGGTACTCAGAATCCTCCAGCAGAAGCGGTTCACAGTTGCCTTGGTAACCCAAGGATTTAAGACTCTGAGGAAAGTACACAGGCGAAATCACTTGTTGGATCCTGAAATCACCTTCTGCTTCCAACTGCATTTGCGGCATCCAACCATGGGCTCAGGGAGCATCCTACTACCTCATAGCTGACTGTTCCCAAGACACCAAGGCCCTGGCCATCACCTGTGGGTGGGCCAGAGGGATCCTGGGACGGTGAGAGGCCCCTAAGGTCTGCACACCCCAGAAATGGCCCAGAAGCCCTGTCACTCAGGGGAGGCTGCAGCTTCTCGGGTTTTGGTTGCAGCTGGTAAAAGACTTTGAACAAAGTTAGGAGCACACAGGATGTCATGGTCCCTGTCCTCTGCCCTGGATGCCTCTCTAGGGACAGCTGGCAGAACAAGCAACTTTTCCATCTGCCCAGAAATGTCCTTCTGATGTGGTCCTGCTCTGTGCCAAAGGCTGAAGGCTACTCCCAGGGGTATTTGTCCACCACAGCAGATGCTGCCGATCCACAGGCAGCACCACTGGAGCTAGTGTGTACAGCCCAGGGCCACTGCCCATACCCCAGAGTATCCAGGACACCTACCCAGAGCACAACCCTGCCAAAGGCAAGAAGCCGCGAGTTAAACCCCCTGGCACTGAGCCTGGGCCTGGGTTTGGGGCAGGGAGGGAAGGGAGGAGGATGAAGGAGGTAACACAGCCCCTGGAAATGTGCTCTGCTGAGCCCCCAGGAGCCACTGTCTGATGGATACAGAGTTTCAGGGCATTGCTTAAGGGATACAGAGTTTCTCTTTGGGAGATACAGAAGTTCCAACTAATAGGAACCTATATAGTGCCAGTGAACTGCAGGAACCGCATGCTTTTAAATGCTCAGAATGGAGCCCAGCATGGTGGCACAAGCCTAAGGGAGGTTTAGGCAAAAGGACTGAAAGTTCATGGCCAGCACTAGGGCCTTGCACTACCAGCTGCTCTTCTTGCTCCAGGAAGCCCTCCAGGCAGGCAGCACCAAGACCCCTGGGGCCAGCACATGGGTGCCATTTCCAGGTTTGCTGTCTTTGCTGCCTCTGTCCATTCAAGGTTCATTGGGTGATTTCTAATGTTCCTTTGGAGGGGCTCTGCTCAAAGGCATGGGCCAGGGAGCCCTGCTCCTGCCTGACCACTTCTCTCTCTGACCTGGCTGTAGCTCTGGGCCTGGGAGAAAGAGTTAGACATCAAGATGACAGAGTGGCTCATCCCCACTCTGCTCTCTGAAAGGGATCAGCACAAGCCAAGATTACTGCCAGGCCCTGGGCACTGGGAGCTGTACCCCCTGTCCATTTCCTATCTGTTACTCTAGGCACAGACATGGAACCATCCGGCAGGCTATGGGGACCACCTCCAACACCTCAGCACAAGGGCCCTGTGGCAGGAGCGGGCCTCGCTTTGCAGAGCAGGTCCTAGCTAAGCTGGGAGAACCCACACTCAGGGCAAATGTGTCACAAGTGTCTACATTTTAAGACCCTCTACAATCACAACACCCTGCCTGCCCCTGCACGAGGACCACAGACAGCACTCAGGGACAGGCTGCTGGCCTCTCTGGAGACCACCGAGTACCCCAGGCAGTTCCACAGGCGACAGAGGACACCAAATCCACACCCCACACATGGTCAAACCTCCCACGGTCTCCCCACTGCTCTGCCCACAGAGCTGCCCCATCCCAGGCAGCCCCATGTCTCAGGGTGCCACCACCGCACTGATGGGCATGGAACCAGGGGCTCCAAAACCCCCAGGTGCCCTGGTCTCGGAGTGCGCCATTTGCTTCCCTGTGGTCGTACCAACTCCTATGAAAGGAAAGCCCCAGTGAGAGCTGGGAAGGGCATGGCTTCACCCGCAGCCCAGGGCCACCACAGCGCTCCAGGGCTGACGCCTGCTCTTCAGCATGAAGGGCTTACTTGAGTCTCGGCTGCTGAAGGGCCATCCCGGTGTGGGAAGGAACGAGGGCACCGGGGAGCCTGCCTGGCTGTCATCTTCCACCTGCTGCGTGATGTGCCGGACAGTCTCTTTGTTCTTTCGGTTCTTCCTCCGGCCTGTGGGCTGCCAGCTGTCCCCAGCACCCTGCTCCGAAAAAGAGCTCTGGATGGCACCATCTTTGCCAGAGGGCAGCTCACTGCCTCCATAGTGAGAAGGCGAGATCTGTTCCTCCTTGATGCGCAGGGGCCCATAGCCCACGTCTCCGGGCCACAGAGCCTGTGAGGAAATGTCCTCAGGGCCATCGACCTTGGGCTCTGGATCCTCCTTCCCGTAACTGCTCCCGCCCTCATGGCAGCTGGCAATGGCCGAGTCTCCGGAGGAATTGGCCGGGCTTGTCCGCCGTGCCAGCCACGGGGAGATGCTCCTCCCCGCCATCACGGCCGAGATGAGTGCCTCTGTGCTGCTGCTGGACGTGGCACCAATCTCGAACTCTGAGAGTTCGTCCGAGGTGTCCGACTTGATGCTGATGTCCAACGCGGCCTTGATGAAGTCGTGGCAGGCCTGCACAATGTCCGTCATCTGCAGGAAGCTGGCAGCAGACATCACCTCGATGACGTTCCTGCTTGTGAGGGCCAGATGGGCGGAGTACATGAAGTCAATGATGGCCTTGAAACCCTGTGCGGTGACGATGTCCAAGTGGGTGACTGTCGCCTGGTCGGATGTCTTCTGCACCTGGCAGTACAGCGTCTTGAAGTAGCGGCTGCTCCCAAGCAAGACGTTCTTGTGTGCCTTGAAGACCTTGCCCTCCACGACGACGCAGACGTCACACAGAACCCCGTGCTGCCTCTGCTCGTTAAGCTCACGAAGCAGGTGCCGGTAGTGGGACGTGATTTCCATATCTTCCTTTCGGTTGTTCATCTGGAAGTCCTGGTGTGGCCTCTTCTACAGACTCTGTGGGGAAGAAGGGAAGAGTTACCCACACATGCCGTAGGACAGGTGCCACTAAAGCAGCAGCAGAGCGGCTGCGGGGCAGGGTGAGGGGGGCCTCCAGGCAAGCAGGGACTGTGGGGGCGGCTGGGAGCTGGGCCACTGCTCAGGGCAGAAGCCAGATCCATAAGCTGGGGTGTAGGGGCCCAGGGAAGCCTGGTGCCCTCACTGGCACAGAGCCACAGCAGTGGGCAGACCAAGCCCTGCCCCAGCTGAGCCAACTTTCTAGGCATGCTGCAGAGATGCGATTCTGAGCAGAATAGCACACAGCAGCTACAATAATAAAATACAAATAATAAAAGCACCCACCAGAAGACTGAAGCAATTTCCTTATCCAAACTGAAAATCTAGGTTAAAGAATCCAAGTGTGGACCACACAGGGGCTGACTGGGGGGGCAGCCAGACACCAGCCCCTTTGGGCGCACAGCCAGGGAGACAGTTCTCAGCCAGTAAGCAACCAGCTGATCCAGAGTAACACAGACTGTGTGATAGCTAATGAGGTAAAATGCAACTTAATGCTTATATTGTTACAGTGTATCACTGACATTGCAGGCCTAAAGCCTGTGGTCTGATCATTTATTCAGAGGGTAACAATGTGCAATGTAGCATCTATGGGGGATCTCCTTCTAAGGGTGGTAGCCGTTGTTAATTCCTGTTATCTTGTTTTGAAATCCTGTATCATTTTCATTGTTTTGTTTGGTTGGGTTTTATTCTGTTTTGTCTTGTTTGATTTTGTTGTATCCGATGGCATGGGCAGCTATTTCAAAGATAACAAGATATATTGTGGATTTACATTTTGGATTTACTATTATCTTGCTTTCAAGTCCTGCATTGCATTCATTGTTTTGTTTTTATTCTGTGCTGTTTTGTTTGATTTTACTATGTTTGATGTTATGGGCAGTTATTTTGAAGACAACAAGAGGCATCATGGTAACCATTGCTGATTTCCTATTATCTTGTTTTGAAATGCTGTGTCACATATAACTTGTTTTAATTGGCTTCATTGTTTTACTTTGCTTGGTTTTATTCTAAAATAAAATTAAAAAAAAAAAGAATCTTCGTCCCAAAGCTTGAAGAAACATTCTTGCTTTTTTTTTTATCAGTACCAGGGATTGAACTCATGACTGTGTGTTTGCAAGGCAGGCACTTATGCTGCTGAGCTAAATCCCCAGCCCTTGAAGAAACATTCTTAAAAATATACAAATAAATAAAACTTCCTACATACACGCACACACAACAGAGTAGTAAGACTTGAAGTCAGACATTCATAGCCTCGCTCCTAAGAATGTTCAAAGCTCTGAGGTCTCAGCAAGTATGTGGGACGTCCCTCCAGCCAGCTCGGGGTTCCTGCCCAGCACCGGGTGTGGCCTGGGAGTTTCCTGGGCCCAAGAAACACACTGGAAGTGGAGAGAGACTCGTGGTTGCTCCCTCACCCAGCGACAGTCCTGCTCAGGTGCTGAGGCTGCCTACCAAGTACGGCAGGCACACGGCTTGCAGGAGAGGTTTGTCCTGCCCTGCGCAGCCCAGTGGCCACAGTCCAGACCGAGGCGTCCACGCCAGCCTGGGCCTCAGGGACAGCCAGGAGCTTCTGGGTCCCATGGTTTGTGGAGCCTTCCTGGACTCTGCCTCTGTCCTCCTTGATGTTTTCCCTGCAGGGCTATGTCCACATGCCTTTTCACAAGGACGTCAATCGCTCTGGCGTTCTGGGTCCAACTAGTGGCCTCATCCTCACTAATTCCGTCCGCAACGACCTTATTTCCAAACAAGGCCACATGTTGAGGTCTCAGGGGTTCAAACTTCGGCACCCAAATTCTTGGGAGACACATCCAACCCCAAAGTCCACCTGAGAGGGGCACAGACAATTAGCGTGTGCTCTGTCCCCTTACTTGTTCCATCATCCCAACTGATCGGTCACTGTGCTTAACAGGACAGCGAACTGCCCGAATACAGGCAGAGGCTGAGTCCTTCCTGGGCCACCCAGTCCACCCCACACAGGCTTCTGGGACAGACAGGGTGCAAGGGGGATTTTTTTTGGGAGAATTGAACTCAGGACCCGGCTGTGTCCCTGGCTCAGGGTGCAAGTTTTACTCCTCCTCTTGACTTACTGAAAGTGTTACAGCACACATCCCTTCCCTTGGTCACCTGAAAAATGACCTGTGGAACACAGTGACTGTCTGCTAATTCACAGGTGGAGAAAATGAGGCAGCAAAGAGGATTTTTCTTCCTCTCTTTGAATGCTAGGGTCCTTGGCCACCATCCTCCTTCCCTGGCCTTTCCTGCAACTGCTAGGGGTGAGGACGCCGGGGCCACCTGCCTGTGCCTCCTGCTCACTCTCCTCCAGTGGAGCCATAACAAGCCAGGCCCAGCACCTGTCACATGGTCCACATCCACGAGTACCTGTGGCGACCTTTTAGAGCTGTTAGTGATACAAATACCTGCTGGAGCAGCGCGCCACCGGTCTAGGTGCTGGGCCTGTGCTAAGAACAGACAGCCGCCCACCACGAGGCCCTGGACGTGAGCCTGGGGGAGACGTGTTGCTCCTGCTGCGTGCCTTTCAGCCACTGTTCAGGCATGAATGTGGCACCTGCCCCACCAAGAAGAAGGGCTTGGGGAGCTGGGGTGTCCACGGGCTGCAGCCAGTGTTTTCAGGAGCCCCTGTGGCAGCTCATTACCCAGGTGCTGCGCTGCACACCAGCGTGCAAGCTGGGGTGGCGGGGAACAGGCAATCATGCCCGGGTACTTGGTTCTTCACACAGGGCTCCACTGACCCCAAGGAGGGACACAAGTTCATTTCACACCACGGGAAATAGTCATCTAAGCTCAGAGCACCAATTCAACGCCTGCCATTTGGAGCAGGTGACATGGCGACAGCCATGTAAGAAGGACAAGTGCCTGCATTCCAACCTGGAAGCCAAGAGATTTCATTGCTGGATTTTCTGTTTAAATAAGAATCTCTTTAGTCAACTAGAAAATATCCTATAAGAATTTTTAAGAAATAGGCAGAACAGACTGGGCATTCTATAATCCCAGCACTTGGGAGGCTGAGGCAGGAAGATCAATGCAAGTTTGAGGCCAGCCTGGGCTACATGGTGAGTTCAAGGGCAGCTTGGACTGCACAGCAAGACCCCATCTCAAAAAACAAAACAAACAAACAAAAAAATTATCCAGACCAATGAGAAGGGGGAAAAAAATCATAAAATGACTTTTATTTTTTAGAAAAAGTATTTCTTATAGATTACATTTCTAAGATAATTTCAACATAAACTGCAAGTTTCAAAGTTAATTATTATCCAGTTATCTCCTAACTTAAAGTTATCATTCATAGATTTTCTAGTAAGAAAAAGCATAAAAATTTCACTTGGAAAAAAAGTTAGTGGAAAGAAAAAAGTGACAGTATTTAAGGCGATTAGTGTCTCAGATGTGGTAAGAATACACGTGACCTCTCCAAGCCCAGGGAAGTTTAGACATGAATTCAGGTTTCAGAGTGCATCGTCCACCAGCACCAGAAGGACACGTGAGCTGTGACAATGGCATCCTCTGAGGCAGCAATCTTCGCCCCTCAGCCTCTGCCGCCACCTACACCAGCCACAGAGAGTTCGGTCCTACAGGCACTGGACATGGACACGCGTGCCGCACGCTCCTCCATGGGACAGCGAGGCAGGGCACTTCGCTGGGGAGAAGCCCACCTCAGGGGCCCATACACGCCCAACGGTCACACACCTTCACATGGACAGCCTCACCTTCATCCTTTTTTTTTATTGGTATCAGGAATTGAACTCAGGACCTCATGCTTGCAGGGCAGGCACTGAGCTACATGCCTGGCCCCAATGCTTCATCTCTGAAGCACCTGTGCAGCCACAGGGGCTCACAGGCGGGTGCACAGGGCTCCAAACAATCCAGAGTGGGACACAGCTGGGCACTCAGTGTGACACTAGGGCTGGGGGAGACAAGGTGGGAAGCAGCTGCACCGCACTCAGACTGCACAAAAACCTCGCAAGTGTCGTGGAAAAGTCACACCTGCTTTTTTTTTGAGACAGTCCCACTTTGTAGTTCAGACTGGCCTTGAACTCACAGTGCTCCTTCTGCCTCAGCCTCCCAAGTGCTGGGATTACAGGCCCACCCCAACACGCCTGGCAACCTGTTACTGTTTCTACCACATCACACCTGGCCCTGCAGACTCTCCAGTACCTGCTGCATCTACAGCTTACTCATCCCAAGAGACTCCAGTTTCCAACTGAAGACCACTTTGGGTACCAAAACAGCCTGAATCCATGTTCTAGGATCCTAAAGTCATGTCACCCATCAGGGCTGGGGAGCACAAGCTCAGAGTGTGAGATTCAGTAGCCCAGGTCATGAAGGGTGGCAGCGGGGGGCCGTCCTGTCCAGGCCAGCCACTCCTGACACCAAACCCCAGCGGGGAAGGTGCTTCACAGTGGGTCTGGTGGGCCCTAGGACCAAGGTCACACCACGTGTGCTAGTTTTACTCTGCCCAGTGGGTCAGGCAGTGAGGTCACAGTACCCTACCTCCCACAGAAGGCTGCGTGCAAACCCCAACTGCCCAACTCCCACCAGGCACACGGAAAGGGAGGGGCAGCCACGCCCTCCACCCAGTGCGCCAGTTCCCTGCCTGCTCATCCCTGGGTTGCCCTGAAGGGACACACATTCCAAATCTTCCTTCAACCAATACCAAAAGGTAAAGGGAAACCAATCAGAAAGCCGTTTTTAAAAAATTGAGGCAAAATAAAGGATAAACTTGAGGCATATGCAGGTAAATGGGTGCACCATAATCTCAAGGGAAATAAATCAGACACCAAGTTTAAATAGAACAGGGTTGAGAAACCCAAAATATAAATAAAGGATAATGGGAAGTAGGGAGAACATTTTCAAAGGGGCAGAGGAACAAGAGAAGAGGGAAGGGACAAGAATTAAACAAGGGACTCAAAGAAGAAAATGGAAACCTTTTC